GAAAACTTTAGGTGCCCTGTTCTCCAGCCCTGGCCATGTTAGCTCAGAGCCACCCACCTTGTCCAGGTAGTTCAGGGCTCCCTAGTGTCAGGAGCTGTTCTAGGTGCTGAAATCACAGCCACCCAGACTGAGCGTGCTCTGTCCTGCCTCTGGGCCCTTGTGTCACCTCCGGGAGACAGCCCATCCAGCTATCTCCCATCTGTTAAGACCTGGCTTAGATGTCTCCTTGTCCGTGAAGCCTTCGCAGACCTGCCCTCCCCTGGGCGGCGTGGAGCACGTTGTGCGGTGGTTTGTTTGCCCATCTGTCTCCACTCCAGCCTGAAAGCTCCCACGGGACTGGATCCCTGTCTGATTCACTTTTAAAAAAATTCATTTTAATTAAATATTGAATGGGTGTTTATAAAGAATATAAGAATACTCATAAAATATGTATGAGATATAAGGGTAATAACACAGTGACCATTTATAAGGACCCACATTCCACTGTAAGAAACATAATCCATTCACACCATCAGCACCTGTCACAGGGCCTGAAACTAGTCCAGGGTCAGTAAGTGTTTGTGAATGACCGAATGCCCTGATGAATGAGTGAACCTCCAGTTCTCTCAACGAGCCTTGGTGTTGCAGGGCAAGCTCCAGGTGAAGTGGTCGTAACTAAACCATGTGTCTGCCCACTCTGCAAGCTCGCTGGACCGCTCCCCCATCGTTACGTTCACTCCGCTGTGCTGCCGAGTGCCGCGCAGTGCCAAGCCTGGTGCTGGGGCGTCTGAGTGTCGCGGTGGGGAGCAGAGTGTCAGAGACCTCTTCCTAGGGAGTGTCCATTTAAACAGCTTTTCAGAAGAAGAAAAAAGAATCCAGGGAAGCCAAACTGCAGTGCTTCCCACCCCTCAACAGCCTCCCTGTGCTCCACCAGAGAGGCAGTGTAGGACAGTGGCTAAGAACAGGGACTGGTGGCCTTGATATTGGAGTCCCAGCTCCACCGCTTATAAGTCCTAGTGGCTTTGGGAGTTACCTACCTTCTTTGAATGTCGGTTTCCTTGTCTATAAAATGAGCAAAATGGATCCTACCCCATGGGTTTGCTACTCCATAGGTTTGCTGTGAGGCTTAAAGGAGTTAATATGTGACAGGTGCTAGCGCACAGCGGGGCTCACAGTGAGGACTCAGTTGGCATTACCACCTCTGTTGTCCACAGAGATTCTGCGTGGTGGGGCTGGGGTTATGGCCAGAGGTGGGAGGGGCCTCCAGGGGCCATTTCTGCAGTTTTTCCCTCTGGGGAAGGGCCAAGTGCCAGGCCAGTCACATGCCATGTTCCCTTGGCTCTAACCACTTGGGGACCACATTGTACTGCTCTGAAGCATGATGTGCCCACACTCCATCCATCAGGAAACACATATTGTGCGTACAACATGTGCCAGGCTCTGTGCTGGGCTCCAGGACGCAGCTGTAGAGAATTCACACAGAGGCCTGCCCGCACACAGCTGGCAGTCCAATTACTGCAGGGTCACCAAGGATACGCAAAAGCAATACATGTGCTACACAATGAGTTGGAAGGTACTCAGTGCCATGAAGACAAAGAGCAGGAGGGGCGGTGGTCAGGGACAGTGTCCCTGGCAAGATGTCTCCAGGGCAAAGACTTGAGAGAGTGCAAGTGTCAGCAGATGCAAATTCCCAGAGACAGGAGTGGGCCTCCCACAGCAGCAGATGAGGCCAGAGGGAAAGGACTGCATTTCATGGGCCTCAGAGGCCATTGCACAATTTTTGGCTTTTCCTCTAGGAGGGAAAGGAAGCTGTTGGAGGGTTTAAGCAGAGGAGGGAAGTGGTTTGACTTATGTATGTAAAGGATTATTCTGGCTGCTGCATAGAGAAGACCATAGGAGGTCAAGTGGAAGCATCCAGGCTTAGGCAGAACTGAGAAAGGAGGGGACGGTGGCTTGAACCAGATGAAGCAAGGAGGCAGTGGGGGTGGCCATACTTGGAAGCCAGCGAGATGTGCTGATGATTGACTCGGGATGAGAGATGAAGGGACTCCAAGGTGAAGAGTAGGAGGAGCGCAAAGAGGGGCAGGTCAGGGCTCAGAGACGCCAGTAAGACATGTCAGTGAAGATATAGAGCTGCACTTCAGCCAGGGAGGCGCCAGGAGGAGGTCTGGCCAGAGGTGCGCACTTGGTAGCTGTCGGTGGGCAGTGGGACTTAAAGATGTGAGTCTGGGCAGGCCTCGAGACTCAGGGAGCGTGTTCATTCAGAGAAGCGAGTGTGCACAATGATGGAGTCCCTGCAATGTAGGAAGTGGGATCCCAGGTCTGGGAGATGAGGCAGGAGAAGGTGGTGTTCCGGAAGGCGTGTGGAGGCCTTATTTCAGGAAGGAGGGAGCACTCAGCAGCAGCCAGTGCCGCCGCTGCTGCTGCTCATCAGGTGAGGTGAGGCGCTGAGAGCTGGCTGTTGGGTTTGAGGGCATGGAGGCTTCTGGGGACTGGGACCCGAGTGGCTTCTGTGGAATGATGGGCAAAAGCCAAGTTGGAACAGGTTGGGAGGAAAGGAGAAGAGGAGCAGGAAGCAGTGAGTGGAGACCATTCGCAGAGTTTTGCTATAAAGTGGGACAGTAGCCGAAGGGGAATGTGGGTCAAAGCTCTTTTTTAGGATGGAGAAGCATGTCTGTATGGTAACTGAAGTAACCCAATAGAGGGGGAAATGGGTGATGAAGGACAGGGGAGAGTGCGTGAAGGTGAGAAGTGGGCCTTGGGAACAGGAGACAGGCAAAGAGTGGGCGACAGACATCCAGGAGAGGCTGTGGACATGCACGTTTCTCTTGTGCGGCTCCGCTTCCCTCTGTAAGACGGCAAGCAGCTTGTCAGTGACAGTGAAGAGAGGGAGGGGCATGTCAGAGCTTGAAGGTCAAGGAGAAGGTGTGAGGAATCATCTGGGAGGACAGGAGAGTGAAGGGACAATGGACATGTATTGTTGTCGCCAGGTGGCAGGCACAGGGGCAGTTGGGTCAGTGGACACGTCGCAGGCCTGCGTGCAGGGGGCAGCGGCCTCGAGGCACAGACTGTGGGCGCAGACAGCGTTGTTTGTTTGCTTGCTTGCAGTGCAGCTGACTTGGAAGTTAACTTGAGTTTGGATCCTTAATTGTCATATCAAACAAATGTCCCCAGAAAGACTACAGTGTGATGCCACATGAAATTAAAAAGTCACTGTGTACACACAAGTTTGCCTGTCACACATGCAACAGGCAACACAGGCACAGTAGACATGCTAAATTCCGAGCAACAACCAAGGACCTTGCACTCCTGGGAGGGGCTGCAGCCCCTTCACATGTTTTAAGGGCTCTCACGGCTTCTGACTAGCTTTCCAGAGCTGCTTTTAAATTCCAGCCCCAAATAATTTACATGAGAAATGAAACTATGAGTTTAACCAAGTATGAACATTTGTTAACGATCCCTAGAAATGAGTCCACTGACAGGCCCTGGTGCCAGGTTCTGAGTGTGGGTCTGAGACGATGCAGCCACCCCCATTCTGGTCCCCACAGCTGGTGGCAAAGATGGCCTGGAGGGGCTGGCCCCAGGCCCTGGTGACCCTAGGGAAGAAGGAAGTGCAGATCTGTGAGGCTGCGTGGGGGGCTGCATGCTGCTCTTGGCTGACCACAGAAGTGTCTGATGGACATTCGCTAGAGGTTCTTTTTTTTGGAAGAGTCTGTATTGGACCGAGGGAGTCTCCACCAGCAGGTCTCCAGAGAAGACAAAGAACTGCAGTACCTTGTGGAGGGCCTCTCTGGTGGACTTCCAGACCGCTCCCTTCCAAAATGGCCTATCCTAAGTTGTCCTGCCAGTTGGCTTCTGGATCTTTTTGGCAAGAGATGGCCTTCATGGAGGGGCAGCAACCTTAGGGCCTCCTCCTGTCAGTCAGCTGCTCCCAGGATGGGCTGCTCTGCAGGCAGCTGTGGCTGGGTCCCCACAGCAGCTCTTGGCCAGCCTGCCCTGTCTCCTGGGTGCCAGAGGCCACCCAAATGAATATAGACTGAAGCAAGTGTGGAAGTTCAGGGGAGCCATAGAAAGCATTGCCTTTGGTGTTTGGTGCTCAGCTTTTCTCAACTTGGAAAAGAAAAATGGGCAGAAATAGATTCAAGTTGGGTCCAAAGAGGAGGGAGGTAGGAGAGCTGAGTGTGGCCTGACCATCTGCTTCCGCCCCACTGCGTTCCTCAACTCTGCCGACTGGGCTGCAGCTGGGCCAGGGCAGGGCGGGGTGGGGGTCAGGCAGGTCGCATCTCTCTGCAGTGCCTCCAGAGCTGGACCCTAGAACTCCAGTCCCACCCAGCCCTGAACACGCGGGAGAGCAAAAGCACTTCACGGAGTCCATCGTGGGCTGGCTGCAGGCCTGCAGGCCGACTGCCAGGAGGAAGGCTTCTTTGTCCCTGTCGGTGATGGTGACGGCACCGGGGCTCCTCCCCCACCCATTTCCAGCTGTCCGGGGTCAGCCTCTGAAGGCAACACATTAGAGTGTACCAGACCTGCCAGGGCAGTAGTTCTGAACTTGAGCTGTATCTTGGAATCATTTGGGGAGGAAAAATTACTAACATCGCCTTTCAGCCACCACAGAACCTCTTATCATTTGTCTGTGGTTAAGTCTGAGAGAAATGTAAAAATCACTCTGGGTGGTTCTAATATACAGGTTTAGAGCTCTGGTACTCAAAGTGTAGTCTGCAGATCATAACAGAAGCATTACCTTAGAGATTCTTAAAAATGCAGACCCCAGACTTACTGAGTCAGAACCTGCACTTCATCAGGATGTCTGAGGGGCACTCATGACCCTACCCCATGGCCGTGATCCCCCAAGTGGGAAACGCTTATCAGGGCTGTGCGTGGGCACAGGTCACACGGCGGCTGTGACTGGGCTGCGGGGCAGGACAGGAGTGTGGTGGCGGGGCTTGGTAGAGACTCCTGCAGGCTGCTTCTTTAAGATGTGTCTCTAATGTAGTTATTTTCCATGTCATTTCAGCGTTTCCAGGAGACTGGACCCCAAGGAGCCCCTGGGTAGCCAGAGAGCAGCTTCCCCAACCCCGAAGCAGGCTTCTGCTACTGCTCCCGGCCATGAGAGCCCCCGGGAGGCGAGGGCACAGGGCCCCGCGGGCCAGGAGGCTGATGGCCCCCGCAGGACGCTGCAGGTAGACAGCAGGACACAGAGATCAGGGCGGTCCCCCTCTGTGTCACCGGACAGAGGCAGCACCCCCACATCACCTTACTCCGTCCCCCAGATCGCCCCCCTTCCCAGCAGCACGCTGTGCCCCATATGTAAGACCTCGGACCTCACGCCGGGCCCCAGCCAGCCAAACTTCAACACCTGCACCCAGTGTCACAGCAAGGTCTGCAACCAGTGCGGGTTCAACCCCAACCCTCACCTCACCCAGGTAACCGCCTCCGCGCCGCTCCCCTGCTTGCCTTCTCCTCTGTCACCAACTCTCTTCTCCTCTCGTTACCCTGGGCCACCAGCCTCTGTGTCTTCCTGGGGTTGTACTCTGGCTCCAGGCACGGTAGCAGAGAACAGACCTGGCCCCAGATCTCCTGAGGGGCAGTCCCAGAGCACAGGACGCTTTCTTACCTGGCCCCGGTTTGACCTGGAAGAATGGCACTGAGAGGACCAAAGACAATCTTACGGACACCTTTTTCTCATGGGTACTCATTTGAAGCAGGCCCTGGGCCAGCCTCTGTCCCCAACAGTGGGCCCTGGCAGAAGAGCCAGGTGTTAGGGGAGGCAGGAAACTGCCTTCCGAGGGGCATCTGGGAAGCTCCCCCCTGGTGTGGAGCAGGTGCCTGTCCCCAGAGGAACAACCCTGGGGTAGAGACCTAGGTTGGAGGCCAAGCACTCATGATGGGTGACAGTGTCCTATACTCACCAAGAGGCCACTTTGGGGCCATTTCCAGGAGATTGGCTTCCTTTCTGCCCCAAAAGACCCTGGGTCTATAGCCCCTCTCTGGCTCTAGTCGGAATGCTTCAGTTGCTGTGGGACCCTCGGCCAATCCCCCAGAGGCTACCTGGTGACCTGGGGGCCGGCTGCTCCAATGTACTAGTCCAGCGGGGGCAGTGCCTTTGAAATGAACGAAGTGAGCTGGGCAACCCATGGAAGTCCCTGGTTTCCCCCCAGAGCGGTGCCTGGGCAGGTTGGAGAGTGGCTGATGGCAGGCACGCCACTGGAATGATCAGCAGCAGGAGCCATTTGGGCCACAGGGATGGGGGATGAGTGAGAATAATTGTTCTCAGGTCGGGGTCTATTTGTGACATGAGGCGCTGTGGGTGTGGGACGTGTGGTTTGCGAGAGGTAAGTGCGAGATTCTGAGGAAGGAGCTGCCGGTGCGGGGAGATGACTCAGAACTTGGAGTCGTTCCTGGAGTGTGGGGGCTTCCTGAGGAGGCGTGCACACTCGTGATTATGACATCTGGGACTGGAGACGGCAGGTCCCTGCCCTGGTTGTTAGGTAAGTGTCTGCGATCTACTATGTAGAACAGTGTGTTTAAGCCAGGCAGCTCACCTGTGCCCTTCTGCCAGCAAGAAGCCAGGGCACCGGCCTCCCAGGAGCTGCGAGGCTTGGCAGGCAGGGATGAGAGGTGCCGCACTGGGCACCCCCTGTGCGCGGGCCCTGCCTCCGGGTTCCGCCTTCCTGAGAGGCCTGCCCAAACTGTCGAGTCTGAACAACTCCGGGTGCGGTGGGCAGTGATCAAGGGAGAACCCTACACGGTGCCTTCGTTTCCCGGGTGGGCATCCCAGTCCTTACCACACAGCGGGCTCCTCCCTGCTCAGCATCTCCGGTGGGAAGGGAGCCAGCCTCTGAGTGTGCCTGGGAAAACAGCAGAGTGGGAGGACCTTGGCGACACTCAGTCCATCTGCCTCTCTGCCCGGAGGAAGGCGAGCTCGGGGCCAGGAGGAAAGGGGCCCGAAACTGCCTGCAGAATTGCCCTGTTTGGAGAAGAGGCGCCTCCCGGCCTGGCCCTTCAAGCACATGCAGGGCTAGAAACATACTATGGTTCTTCCCAGGGAGGTTCTCTGGGCCACCAGCCTCCCGACGGCACCGCCAAGCTGCAGGGCACAGGGCTGTGGCCAGCAAACCTTCCCAGACTTGCTTTCCCAGAACATTAAGGCTGCTGTTTCATGGCATCCAGTTTGGGAAATGCTGGCCTAGACTCCAGGGTCTCGCCTGGTGGCTGCCCTTTTCTGCTGGGGTCTCCAAGCAGAGCCTTCTCTTCTCCATGCTTGGTGTTCCTGCCAAGGAAAAAGAACTTGGCACATTTTCCTGAGGGTCTGGAAGAGCCTAATTCTTGAGTCAGAGCAGGTGCCTTTTGTCACTTGGCTAAGAGCAGATTCACCTCCCTGGTTGTGTTCCCGTGTAAGGAGAAAACAAGTGGGCAGGTTTGCTGATAGATCCGCCCGGCTCCCACCACCTCTGGTCTGAGCACCTCTCACCTGCCTTTCTGAGGAACCCTTTCTGGGGGGGACAGGTTGTGCCTGAAACTGCTGGTGTGGCGCTGCTGCGCCCCAGCGGGGGTGGGGGTGGCCGCCTGGGTCCTGCGTCTGGCCTCGAAGGGCATGGCGTCTCTTCTGCACGTACGTCAGCAGGACGCATTGCTTTTCAGCTTCCCCCGGCAGAGGGGGGGATATGGCAGTCCTGGAGAGGGACGAGGGCCACACCGGTGCCATGGAGGGAGCCGTTGCCTCTCTGAGACTGCCAGTGAAACTGCTCTTGGGCCTTTGGAAACACAGCCATGGAAAAGGGGCCTTTCTTTGTGTGTGCCGCAGGCAGAGTCACAGGCTGGTTTGCAGCTCCTGCTGCAGCCCTGATTAAGAGAGCAATAGAGCTGTTGTGTTGAGAGTCTCTATGAGGACAAATGAGCAGAAAGGAGGGGAAGGCTGCCACCACTGCTCCAATGGTCACCAGAACTCAAGGAGCTCAGAGCACCTCTGCTCATTGTGGAGGAGGTTGAGTCCTGGGACGTCTTGGCTTCTTCTGCGTCATTTTGGAGCAACAGAGCTTGGGGACCCAGAACCAGAGGCCAGCTCTTCTGTTTTCCCACAGGGGCTCCTAGCCCTGTTTTCCCATCCACAGTCCATTTTTGCACAAAACAAGCAGGGCTATCTGGTCCCTCTTTGTAGAAGAGACCATTTCTTCCTGTGTGAAACTGTGGCAAAGGACTGCTGGTTTCCTTGCATGGTCCGAACATTTCCCACCACCTGCAAGAGACCATCCCTGAGAGGCTGCATGGACTCGGAGGCCAAGGTGTTGGCATGTAAACATGTTCAGTGCCCTTTGATGGGGGCAGAGGGTAGGGTGGCAAAGCTGGGGGTGAGAGTGATGCCGGCCGGAGAATGTGGGCAGTGGCCTGTGGCAGGCATAGCCCGTTGCTGCCAGCCCTCCTGGGAGCCTCCCTGGACTGGACTCCTCCAGATGTGAGCCTGCCCATCTCTTCCCACTGCCCCTGCTCTGGTCAGGATCACTTAAAGCTCCTCTAAGAAAACTATGGAAGGATGATCTAGGCCTTTGCTTGTCTGTTCCAAGGTCTAGACTTTGCTGAGACTAGGCCAAGGGTCTTTAATCCGTTGTGCTCCTCCACCCCTCCCCCATTGACAAGCCTTGGGCTTGGGCAATTATCCAGGGTGGGCGGTGTGGAGAAGGGAGGGAGAGGATGCGATGGCCACAGTCTCTTCCTCTACTGCCTGCATCCCACTCCTTTCCGGAGGGCTGGGCACCAGACGGTGGCCGGGGGCGGTGCTGTGATTGTGCGCAGATCCCTCGCCGCAGCCACCTTTCCTCTGCTCCCTCATGGCCACGCTGCCACCTGGGCCCCGTGAGGAATGAGGAGCAGATGTTAGAAGGACATGGATCGGCAGTGGGCTGAGGAGAGGCAAAGGTGTCCTCTTCTTTCCTGAGCCCAGGAGGAGGTGACATCTGTGAAGGTGCCCAGCCTTCCCTCCTCCACCTCCAAACAAATAGAAGTGGGTGTCCAGGTGGCAGGCCCTTCGGGAGCCCTTTCTCCCACCATCAGTCTGGTTCTGGGGCAGTTTGCCTTGCAGTACTCACTTCGGCCCCAACAGTCTCCAAGTCAGCAGGGCAACGCCCCCAAGCTTCTGCCAGGCCTGCTGCCGGCCCACGGTCCCAGGAGACAGGACCCTTGCCCTCCTCACACGGACCACTTCAGGGTGGAGGTCAGAGCCACGGGGGGCACAGGGGAGAGGTGGCTGTGTGGGAGTGACAGTGGGCTCACAGCTGGGGCCATGAGGCTTGGAACGATAGATAACTTTTAGCTGTGGAAGGAGGCTCTAAAGTTATCCAAGAGTGAATGTAAAATTAATTCAGAGCAGGAAATATGAAATTTCATTCCTAAAACTCCTGCTTTTATATGTGCAGGCCAATGAAACAGAATGAAAAGAGAATGGAGTAAAATGATAGCAAAAAGGAGAAATAGATGAAGTGGGACCAGGGAGAAGGGACGAGGGGAGAGGCAGAAGAGGGAAGTGACAGAAAAGCAGAGGCAAGAAGAGACAGAGGAGGAAAGCTCGGTGACCTAGCCAGTGGCTGGCTAGGTCACCTGTTAGTTCTGCTGTTCCTGCTCTCCATCTGGCTCAACCTTTGGCTCGGGCAAGCCTGCTTATATCCCCTCACTCCAGGCGTGGCCCTCAGCCCTCTTTCTCACCTTCCCCCTCTCCATAGATGTTGTTTGAGTCCTCATCATAAGCCAGGAAGTGCCCTTGACTCTGGAGAATCAGGTAGAGCGGAACCAGACTTGTTGCTCAGGCCCTGGAGCCTGCAGGCCAGTGGGACCAGCAGCCCTTCCACCAATAACCACGCAAGCAAACACATAGTCACTCCCAGGGGCCAGGGCTGAGCAGAACCGGGAGGAAGGCCGGGCAGGGGAGGTGGGTGCTTGGTGTCTTGCTGCGACAAGACCCCTGGGGGCTTCTACGAGAAGGGGAAATCAGGGTGCAGGATGCTTGACTGAAGCTGGACTGGAGACAGGTGAAGGCAGGGGAGGCCTGAGGGGATGTGCATGGTCCATGGGAGGGCTGAGGAGCAAGCCAGGCCCAGGCGGCTGGGATGCCCAGCCAGGACCAGAGGGTGTGCAGCTCCTGCCCTTTCTAGGTGTGATTTCAAGGGTTTTGGAAGGTGGCAGTGGGGGGGGGGGTCAGAGGGACATTGAAAAGCACCTCTTTGGAAATAGACAGTGGTGATGGCTGTACAACAACCAACATTATGAATGTACCTAATGCCACTGAATTGGACACTTGAAGATGGTGAACATGGAAAGTTTTTCATTATGTTTCTCTCTCTGTAGATAGCTAGATGGATGGATAGAGAACATACTATAAACACAGATATATAGAGCTACATGAAGCAACACCGCAGCCTCGCCCCTCTGGCTG